CGGTGCAGATAACAATATATATATTATAGTATTTTTTAAATAATCTAGTTGACATTTGTTCAGTATAACCGTGTGATGGGTTTGCTCCAGTCAGATGTTTTCTCTCCATCTGCTGACGTAAATTAATCTGTATTTTTGCTAAATTTGCTTCAGCTTCCTGACTCGGCATTTAATGGGGAAGATTCTCAGTCATCCAGGTCAGATTTATTCAAACTAATTTTAAAATCAATCCACTTTGAAGACGTTTCTCTTCCATCCAGGAAGATTTTTTCAATCCAAAATGTCAGAAATAGCGTTTAGTTCCAGGTTTTATCCAGCAGCCAAACAAAGCCTGGTTTTAGTTTCTGGATGGGAAGAGAAACGTCTTCAGATTTGGAACCTAAACCTACAATGACCTCCAGAATCTTCCCCATCATATGCGGAGTCAGGAAGCCGAGGCAAATTTAGCAAAAATACAGATTATTTTACATCAGCAGATGGAGAGAAAACATCTGACTGGAGCAAACCCATCACACGGTTATACTGAACAAATGCCAACTAGATTATTTAAAAAATACTATAATATATATATTGTTATCTGCACCGAACACCTTACAGTTACTTCCTGTTTAGCTCAGAGTCGACTGAGTCCATCTATAGTTGAGCTTACATGATAGGGCTTCTCTCCAGTATGGATCCTCATGTGACTCTTGAGCGTCTGAAGGTGGCGGAAGTGCGTTCCACAGATCTCGCAGGGGTATGGCTTCTCTCCGGTGTGGATCAGGACGTGAGCACGGAGGTGGGCGACCTGGAGACGGGCGGGAAACCATAAAAACCGTAACGGCACTGAAACACGGACGGCGGGTTCGCGCCGTTTGGCCGGTTTCTTGATTTTCTCACCTGCACAAATCTAGAGCCGCAGGTCTCACACTTGTATGGCTTCTCTCCGGAGTGAATCCTTGTGTGGGTCTTGAGGTTGGCTGGTCGGTTGAACTGAGCCCCGCAGATGTTGCAGTGGTACGGCTTTGCACCTGGAAGGAGGCGGAGGCGGAGTGAGTGAGGGGGAGGGAGGACGCCGGCGCCGGCCGTACAGCGGCACCCGATGGAGGACTCACCTGTGTGGACGGTCTTGTGGCTGGCCAGGTTGCCTTTGTAGCGGAAGGCGGCCTGGCAGCAGTCGCACTTGTATGGCTTGTCGCTGTGGGCCTGACCCATGTGGTCCTTCAGTGAGTCTTCCTCTGAGAATTTGGAGTCACAGCCGTTGCAGAAGAAACTATTATCTGCACATGTAAAAAGAAAGAGGAACCGTTTTAACTCGACGCTTCTGATATTTTTAATGATTTCTGTTTTAAACGTGCCACAGTCTGATGGCGGGCGCCTCTGCTTACCACAGCTGGACGGGGAGAAGTCGGAGCACATTTTTTTGGCCTCGTCGCTGCTGTATGAGGCCGGAGAGAGGTGGCTGCTCTCCGTTCCCTGAGGGCTGCTGCAGCTTGAGAATCTGGAAGAGGAAAGAAATTCCGTTGAAATGTGGTTTTCCCTGACAGATCGCCGTCCAGCGGGAATTCTGCCGGTTTTTACCTGCTGCTGCTGCAGCTGAGTTCGCTCTGAGGCAGCGCCGTTTCCTCTCTGTGACCACCGGCTCCTTCCTCCGGCCGAAGCTCGTCGTTTCCGCCGGCTGCTTCGCCCCTGGAGGGGCTCGGGGAGGGGGACGCCGCCTCCTTCCCGCTCTCATCAGGGGTTTTGTTCAGAACTATAAGCTTGTACTTCTTCCAGTTGCAGGCCCTGGCGTCTCTGGGGGAGCTGCAGGCCTGTTTCAGGCTCATCCTGGCGTTGATGCTGCTGCTGGACTCGGTGGGCGAGTTGGGCTGGCAGTCGGATCTAAGGGGGCTCTGCGGGCTGCAGATGACCCCTTTGCTGTAGCTGGGAGTGAGCCTCAAACAGCCGGTCTGCGGGTGCTGAGTGCCGTGGTCCTCCATGGGAGACACGGAATACTGAAGGTTGCGGATGAGGGAGAACGGCTGCGCCGACGCCATGTCGGCTTCCTGCCGCCGTAGGATCTTGTTAGAACTCTCTTGTACCGTAGCGGGAACCTGCCGATCACCGTACACGCGGTAGGAACCGGTGGTGTTGATCCCCCTGAAGACGTTGGGGATGTAGCCCCCACAGTCCTGAGAGGACATGGTCAGTAAGAGGTTGTTTCTAAAGTCCGCCTCCTTTTCCTCCAGAGGCTTCTTCACGGAGATCTCCTCAGTCAGAGCGGACAGGTTGTTCTGCACCTCTTCCATCTGCATATTCAGAACCTGATGCCTGCAGGAATGAAGCAAACCTCCCATCAGATCCTTCCAGCTTCACCAAAAACAACAGCAGGAGGTCTTTGAAAGTCAGTGGTTTACCTGGACTTGATGAACCTGTGGCAGGTGTCAGCAACGTGCTCCATCTGGAGGTAGATGGCTGTGTTCAGGGTGGTCAACGCCACCGTGTCGTTGAGGTTCAGGATCGACGTGTACATGAAGTCCAACAGGAGGGAGAAACCCTTAGGATCCACTTTGGGGTCCAGGCTGATGGCGCTGAGGCTGGCGTTCTCAGGTTTCATGAACACAGAATAGAAGAAGCCGCTGTAGAAAAAAACATACAGGTATAGTTTGCATTTTAAGAGGTCTGGAACAGTGTTTTTATTTATTGTGCTCTGTGGTGCGTACCTGCAGGCTACCAGGATGGCTTTATGAGTATGAAAGATCTGACCGTCCACCTGCACCGTGACATCCGTCAGGAGGTTCCTGCTGCGGAGGCGGTTGAAGTTGAGCAGGACGTCGCCTGCGTGACGCGTGAATTGAATGCAGCCATCTGCAGTGGTGGCCATGCTGTCGCAATCTGTCCGGGGGGGGGGGATAACGTCATTAAGGATATGAGCTGGTCACATTTTAGTTCCAACTATCTCATTTATCTGCTCAAATTAATGGGAAATACATTTTTACTCATTTCTAAATGTACTCCTTTTCAGCGCTAATAAAATGTCTTAACATCTAAATGTAAATTCTGCTTGCATTGTTGTTCAAAGGAATAAAAAAAAACAATAAGGCTGAAATTAAAACTAGTAATTATTTGGTGAATGAAAGCTATAGAAATACATTTATTATCCATTGATGTGATAAAGCTCTAAGGAAGAGGATTAGGGCCACTAAAATAAAAAAGTTAACTGATTTATAAATCTTATTTCTGTTGAATTCTGAGAAAATTGTCAGAATTCTGACTGAATTCTGACAGCTAACAAACATGTTAGCATCCAGCCGTAGCCATGTCTGTTTAAGAGACTAGCTTTCTTGTTTTAATCACCTCCAGCTCTTCCATTAATCAAACAGCATCAGCAGGGATCCTCAGGGATGGAAAAAAAGTTGCCTAATTCCATCATTTTCCACCAATCTGTTCCTGTTTCTCCCAAATAACTCGCATCTTTATCAGTGAAGCTGAGAGCTCCACATCTCTGCCTTCATGGAGCCCATTAAGATCCACAAATCTCAGATTAAAGTCAGAATTCTGAGATTAAAATCTAAATTCTGAGAAAAATTCTGCATTATTCCCATATTGAACTGAAATAATACGTAGAAATCAGTTCATTTTATTTTTCAGTGGCCTTAATCTTCTTCACTATAAGTTATTAGTCATTTGTAGAGTTTGCTTTTGGACAAACCATTATCACGCTGTCATGGCTGCGTTTCAACACCAGGGGGAGCCATTGCTGAGTGGAAAAACCCCACCTGTTTCCCTAACTGTGTAAAACTCTGCTTTCCGCCGACCGAGTCCTAATGACGTCCTAATAAACACGATATAGCAACTTAATGCGCAGTTTTTATAAAACAAAACACCCGCGCGCATAATCAGGATCACATTTACACCCAACAAAGTTTTAGACAACTCATATTTTTTAAAAGTGAGTAAAAAAAACAAAACAAAAAAAACATATACACGTTTATAATCGTGTCAATGACGCAGAAACAATAAGAATATTTGGTTGGGATTAGGGCTGTGAAGCGGTTCTCATGTTTCCTTAAAGTGCGCAAACAAACTGGCGCAGAGCGCGAGCTGGCATATTCTGCAAGCGCGTGAGCACATTCCGTCCTTCCTGCTCAGATTGGAGCTGCCAGCGACCGACCCCCCCGCTCCGACACCAGGGGAACTCTCCTCAGTTAACCCCCCCCCCACAAACACATCAAATGTGTTGCACCAGATCTGATGCGGTAATGACGCTGAAATGCGCCTGGTGAAGGAGCGGCTAAAGTCCTGCCAAGTTTACAGGAGTTAAAGCTGTCCTGGCAGACTGCTGCAGCATTTATGTTGTTTACATCTGATTCAAAACAAACACATTCATTAATAATAATAATAATAAAAGAGTTGATGAAATTAAAAACGTTCGCGGGGAAAAACTAAAAAACGCGCAGAAGAAATTAGAAGCGAAATAAAACCAGACTGCGACTATTTATGACAACACGACCTTCAGCTCCTTCATTAAGGCCTAGATTATAAACAAAATAATAATAAAGATGAATAATAGGAGGTTTGTCCTCAGCAGTCTGACTCTGAGCGGAAGGAGGAAAAGTCCCTGAAATGTGCAGAAAAGCAGCAGCTGTCAAACAAACAGCCAGCAGCGCATTTATCAACAACAGCAACATTTAACAAGAATAAACGGAATAAAAACAGATTAAATCTATGAAAGGCTGCCGTTTGGGCAGCAGCTGGAGCGGCTGAACAAGTCAGAGCAACTTCTGAGAAAATAGGAAGAGGAAAAAAAAAAGTCACCTTATAAAAGTTTCCTCGAAACTCTGAGCATCACCACTTCTGAGAATCCAGTTCTAAGAAACACTGAGGCTCAATTCTCGGAATTTCAAGAGAAGACTGTACCATTATTTACTGGGCGGGGGAGGCTCCTCCCCCAACGCCGCGTTAAAAACGCTTTCAATCAGCGCTACGCGGGTTTGCTAAAAACAAACTGTCTTTTGGATTCATTAACGATGTTAATGTCGACATACATCGGTGATTTAAGAAAGATTAAACGTTTTTTTGAAGTTTTGAGACACCCCGCATGGTGGAGGCGTCCAAGTCCAAGGTCAGCTGACCAAGTTATAAATACCGTGGGGAACGGAGCTGTGCGGTGTCGATCAAAACTCGCCGTCAGTCCAATGAACGCCCCCGCCCCCTTACTCAAACTTAATAAACAAACGAAGAAGAAATCGAGCAGCAGCTCCTTCTTTCATAACTTTCATATAAAATGACCCCGGGTTCCCTGAAGGGCTCCTTCTTTCATAACTTTCATATAAAATGAGCCCGGGTTCTCTGAAGGAGGGGTAATCTTCCCTGGCGGCCATGTTGAAGCTGATTCAGGTCTCTGTTATGCTGGTTGGACGTAATAAAACATGGTCTGTAGAACATGAAACTAAGGGCCCATGAGCAAGGCACAGGATGAACCGACACACAAACACACATCTGTGTTTTCCAGACTTTCTGCAGAGAGAGTATTAACTTATATTTATTACTCCATATTGTATTGAACTCAAAATGTTATAAACTCTTCATAACATAAAGTCTTACTGTGTCTTTGGAACTCTTCTTAAAGGCAGGGGCGGATGTAGGAAATTTGTGGCCCTAGGCAAAGACAGGCAGGGGCCCCTCTGAATAGAGAAGCCAACACATAAAACAGCCCCATTATCCAGATAGAGAAATGTTAATAGAATAGACATCCATTATCTGTTCTAGGTTGTGTCCCTCTCTTCTTGTCCCTTTTCTTCTTGTTTTCCTCTCTATGTTTTGTACTCAGCTGACTTTTCATGCTGTCTCTAAAGGAATGAAAGATTTTTTCCAAGCACTAAGCTCACTTAGCTGATTGCTCCTTCCTGTGTTTCCAAAAAGGCCAAAGTAAATAACCCAGTCCTTCTTTTCAGAAGTAGAATGGGAGGCAGATCTTTTAGTTATCAGGCTCCTCTCCTGTGGAACCAACTACCAGTTTTAGTCCGTGAGGCAGACACCCTGTCTACTTTTAAGGCTAGGCTTAAAACTTTCCTTTTTGATAAAGCTTCTAGTTAGAGTGGCTCAGGTTATCCTGAGCTATCTCTATAGTTCTGCTGCTATAGGCTTAGACTGCTGGAGGACATAGGGACCCCTTTTTCATCATTCTGCTTCATTCTATCTCTATTCTCCCACTCTGCAGAATCTGTTAGTTCAATCTCTAACGTTCTGCTCTCTCTGCTTTTTCTCATAGTAGCTTCATCTGGTCTGTTCCTGTTTGGCTGTGACTCCATCCTGGAGAGAAATATCAGCTGTGCTGCTGCCATCAACACCTTTGTTTCTAGATGTTGGAGCTTGACCTGTTTTCCAGTGTAGTCCTGTTTCTATGACTGTGACTAACTGGATGTGCTCTCTTCATCCTCTGACATGGGAGCTGGCTCGGAGCTCGTCTGCCTGGCTGTGTGTTTCCTGGACGGGGCCGCCTGTGGAGCTGGTTGACAGTTGCCTTTTGTATCTATGCTTCTTTTTCTATGTCTGCTTCTGTCTCCTTGAACCCCAGTGGGCCTCAGCAGATGGCCGCTCACACTGAGCCTGGTTCTGCTGGAGGTTTCTTCCTGTTCAAAGGGAGTTTTTCCTCTCCACTGTCGCTACAAGCATGCTTAGTGTGAGGGATAGACACACTTAATATTAATATTAAAAGCGCTCTGATGGCATTTTACCGAATAAATAAGGAATAGTTGTACCGGTATTAACCATACATGTAAACAGAGTTTTATGGGGCCCCCAGGAACTTAGTTAAAAAAGAAAAAAAATCTTCACTTTACATAATTTGTCCCATTATACTAATACAATAAAAAAAATACTTTCTCAAATTCTGACAGCATATTTTTCCTTTTGATTATCTTTAACTTTCATTCATTTTCCATTAATCTCTATAGCTTTAAGATAATGTATACTTTAGCAGAAGTATAGCAACTGCTAGGTCTATGGGGCGCCGTTTGTAAAGTTAAGCAGTCAAATATTTGGAGCAATATCTATGGTTATTTAGCACATTTTAAGAGAAAAATAGGGGGGTCATTTTTTTTTCCAAACCACTTTTTCACTATTTCATTCATTAATTAATAAAAATCGTACTTTGTTAAATAAATATTTCGCTACAAACTAAATATTTATTCAACAAACTAAATATTTAGCTAGCTATTTAGCTAGCACCAAGCTTGCTAAATATTCAGCTAGCTAGCTTGGTGCTCCCTAAATATTTAGTTTGGAGCTAAATATTTATTCAACAAACTAAATATTTAGCTAGGTATTTAGCTAGCACCAAGCTGGCTAAATATTCAGCTAGCTAGCTTGGTGCTCGCTAAATATTTAGTTTGGAGCTAAATATTTATTCAACAAACTAAATATTTAGCTAGCTATTTAGCTAGCACCAAGCTTGCTAAATATTCAGCTAGCTAGCTTGGTGCTAGCTAAATATTTAGCTTGGAGTTAAACATATTTTTCAACAAACTAACCATCAAGATGTTTTTCACCTGTTTTATTTCCAAGTCGTTATAAACAGACGACAAAGGAAGTGGTAAAGAATTCAACCTTATTATTCTTATGAAGGTTTTTGCTTATTAGACATTTAAATTGGGCCGAGCCTTGGCTTGTCAGATGGCGTCATATGAGCTGATGGTGAACTATATTTGGTTCTTTAACAAACAGAAGCTGAAAGCTGATGTAGAGCTGGAACACACAGATCCTCTGAGTGTTTATAAAGCTCATGTAATAACAGGCAGGCTCCTCAAAGCATAGTAGACTTCATACTGTAACAAATGTTCATTCAACCAAACCGTTTTTTTTGTTGACAGTAGGTCGATAGTTACTTCTACAACTGTTACTAATGATAACAGTAGCGGTAATAATGCCAACCAGTGTGGAAACATAGAAGATAATGCCTTGATGAATACCTTGTTGCTTGTTTCTCATATGATGCAATAATTATTAGGAACTGGCTGCTGCATAGATAAGGACATGATTTAGGGCCAGTTTCTCATTATCTAGAACCATCTAAATCCCTCTAGCCTCTTTTCCACTGAAATTAGCAGGTTAACTCGTGTTTTCCAAACATGGGTTGGTCCACTAACAATCCAACCGAACCCCCTCCCAACGGCCAAAAAAGCTGGTCTAACCCGCCGACATCATCACACTAGGTTAGAGTTGATAATGTCACCAGTGTGACATAAATCAGGGACATAAACAATGGAGAGCAGCATGGAAGGAAGCCAGGATGTTTTGAGTATTGAGCCGATGTAACAAGTACATTTCTCCATTGTGAGATCAATAAAGTCAATCAATCCCAAGGCCTTTATCAAATACATTTCAGTTGAGTCATAAGCCTCTTTCCCACTGAGAATACCATGTTTTACCGGGTTTTTCAGGCATGGATCGACCCGCTAACAACCGGCATCTGGCTTTCTCATTATCTAGAACCCTCTAAATCCCTCTAGCCTCCTTCCCACTAAAATTAGCAGGTTAACTCGTGTTTTTCAAACATGGGTTGGTCAACTAACAATCGGCATCTGGCTCCCTTCCCACTGGCTAAAAAAGGTTAGAGTTAAAGATGTCACCAGTGTGACAGACCTCAGGGATATAAACAATGGAGAGCAACATGGAAGGAAGCCAGGGTGTAGTCAGTGTGCTTTATTGTTTCTCTCCATTATCTGTCTGAATCCCTCTAACCAGAGCTGATCCATGTTTATCCAGATCAGAAGATCAGAAGTGGCAAAGTGGGAAGTGTTTATGTCTAAATGTTGCGCTGGACTGTATCACGTATATTAGCAGGTCTATTGGGTCTGGTGTTCCCACTGTATTGGAGCCGAGCTGTTTGAAGGCGACTTTAGGGCCCGGTCAAACCTGGAAGATTTAGCCAGCGTCTGCCTGATGTCCCAGAATGTCCTAAAACGCCGGCATACGCAGAACTTTCTATGAATATTTTGAGCTTTGGGCATAAACATATCCAAGAACTTCAACCTATTCTCATTATGAGTGCGTATGAAATCGTACGTACAGT